TTCTGGCGGTTACACGAGAACCATCTGAGTCGCATACCAGAGAGTCTGGGGGAAGTAAGTTCTCTCTTTCCTTTACTCCTCCCTAATGGGAAGAGTGAAAGTATATTTGCATTTCAATCTTAGCAGCTAGTATTTCGCTTCTCTCACCTTTATGGCAGAGATGGGGATTTCCTTCTCCGCTAGTCTAGCAATTGCTGCGTAACCATCAGCTCTACATCACCAGCTTCCAGAATCCGGCATTTTTAGATATACCTCCCTCTTTATTCACGAGTAAAACATTGGCAGGCCTAGCAGAACCTCCAGAGGAGCTGTTGCTGTCATCCTTATTCAGCCAATATCCTAGGCAAGCTGGTCTCCGGACTGTTCATGTGCAACTTTAATGGGTTTCTGATGATATGGTTATTGATTTTGGAAAATGTTATTCATCAGAATGTACGATAACAATGTACGTAGTACATGCAGACTAGTATCATGGAGCGGAACAGGTTGCTGGATGACATAGAGAGTCACAGAATCCTGGGAATGCCCTCGGATACTATGCCTACCATGAACAACTACGAGCTGACCTTCAACATCCTTTTTCCAGAAAGAGATGAGTGTGATCTGAATAGAACCGACCTACTGAGGGCAGACAGTTGCTGGTTTACAGACGGCTCCAAACTCCTGAGGGAACAGGACCGGTGTATATAGCTATAGGCCAAGGGTGAGGATATCCTCAAACCTAGGTACTCGTGCAACTGCTTTTCAGGCCGAGGTTCGAACTGTCGAGGCGGAAGTATATGCATCTTACACGCAGATCAAATAAAAATTTTTCAGACAGCCAAGCAGCTATAAAAGCTCTTGGCTCCTACCGCTGTAAGTCCAAAACGGTATGGAACTGTCAGAAGGCTCTAAATCATTTGAGCAAAAACAACAAAATCACTCTGGTCTGGATACCTGGCTACTCTGGTATGGAAGGTAACGAAATAGCCGACTCCTTAGCCAGAGAAGAAGCAGGATCACGAATCATCGGACCATAGCCAATACTTGGCATATCTTCAAGTACTGTTAAAATGGCTGTCTCAACCAGGGCTGAGAGGAAAACTCTCCAGTATTGGCAAGAGTTACCAGGATTAGTTCATTCTAAGGCGTTTATAAAATACCCCTTGAAATCAAAAACTAAGAAACTTTTAGAGTTAAACAGGATAAACCTGAAAACTCTAACAGGCATTTATACCGGGCGCTGCCGACTAAACTATCATCTGCATAAACTCGGCCTACGAGAACGCTAGTGCCGTCTGTGCTTGGTGGATGATGAGAAGGCAGACCACGCCTATGCACCTGTCCCGCTGTGGAGAGGATCCGATTCTCAATATTTGGCAAAGGGCAACTGCTGCCAGAGGATCTAGACACATTCTCACCCAATAAAATTATCAGTTTCATTAAGATACTGAGCTTATTGGGTGAAATATAATTAGGAGTAATTGCCGCAATGGAGGGTCCACAAAGACCCATTCATAATAACCTAACCTAACCTAAAATACAGATAGGTCTGTTCAGAACGATTAGTTATTATTATTAATTCTTCTTAGAAACAACTCGATTGAACTGGAATTATCCATAATATTCAGATAACACTTAATGGGTATTAAGTGATAGTATACTTAATAGATATAATGGATAATTTCAGTTCTGTTGAGTTGTTTCTAAGAAGAATTGATGATAAAAACTAATTATTCTGAACAGAATTCATAGCTGACAACACATTCTTAAGAATATTTTAATTCATTTATTATTTTACAACCATCTATTTTCTAATATAGTTTTATAACCTTGAAAGTATGCCAGTGGTTTTACACTGATATAGTATAATAAAAAAATGGTTTAAAAGTGTTACAAAAACTTTGCATTACATTAATTTACAATATTTAAGCGGAATGTGGAATATAAAAGCTATAAATAAATATAGTTCTATTTCTGATGGAAAATAGTTTATTAAAAATATATATTCATCATATACACATTCTTGTGCATTTTCCTTTAAATTAATGTATAATGTAAGTAAGTTCTTTAAATTTTAAAAAAACGCCCTCTATGTTTAGTCTAAACTGCATATTAGTGCATATTAATTTACGTTAATGCATTATCGAGGACTTAGAAACAGGGCAAGGTAAAAAGTATTTTATAAATGTCAATAAAAAATGTTATATTAAAATAAATTTGCTAGGTCAATTTGCAACAATCGTATTTATTCAAATAATTTCATAAATATACCCGCCCAAGTTTTAGGTAGTTGGTGAATCAAACACAACACTTCCAATACATTTTATCGTAGAAATTGTTATTAAAGCAACTACTCAACCTAGAAGCAAGTATTGCATTGGATTAAATAACGGTATTCTTAGTATTAGAAGCAAAGAAAATGTTAATTATTAAAAAAATATTGATACAAAAAAAATTTTACGCTTTAAATAGTTTCCTCCAATAAAAAAAAAAAAAATTTATCTTGGATAATAACAAATTCACGTTTGACGAAAACTTCTATTAATCAAGCTTCACATATTGACCTATAAAATCTCTGTCATCACTTTCACATATCAGTGAATTTGTTAGTATCCAACGTAAAACGCTGTTTTTCATATGTTTGACCGTTCCTAATACAAAAACGAAAATCCCTAGTGCGATATATACATATATATATAATCTTTCAACCTTCCAGAACTCTTCAGGCGGCTGGTACACGCGACCATATTATTTATAAAAATATTTAAATTACATAATTCATAATATGAACTTTTGTCATATGTATTTATTTTGACATTTTAAATTGAAAGATTAATTGTAATTTTGGTAATCACAATGACATTCATAATATCTTACCTAACCTAAATAAGCCTATTCTTTCCACATATTTTAAAAAATCTGATATTTTGGTAGATTCATATTTATGCATTTCTAAAAAAAAAAACAAAAAATAATTATTGGGTGTTACATAAGCATCCTTTCCAACCTAACATGACAACAATAATAAATACCTATAGTTTTTTACACTATATACTGTCATTCTTATCTGAATGCGCTAGTATAAATGTTTTAGGTAGATAATGAATGAAATACAACACTTTTAATACATTTTATTTTAAAAACTATAGGTACATAACATTGTTATCATATTAGGTATGGAAGGATTTTTATGTAATAACCAATAATTTTTTTTTGAGAAATACCTTCGTGTTATCCTATTAGATATAAAAAAATTAATGTTTGGGGTATCTTCTTCTAATTGGGAACTTCAGATTAGTAGGAGTTAATTAATAAATGTAATTATTACATGTAGGAAATCCGCTCTGGGACGACCAGCAGGTTTTGTAAGTGACCAAGGACTTCTGCGTTTTTAATGAACTAACTGAACTGTTTTGAAGGTAAAATATACCAGTTTAAAAGAGTGAGTAGGTCAGTATTACAAATTGTCATCGATACATTCCTTGTTTTGTTGAATAAGAATTATTTACAATTATTATGGCTAATGAGTGCATTGCCTTTAGTGACTTAACTGTTCCTGAGGTTAGACTCCTTCTTCAGCCTTCACCTACTACCTGCACAGCTGATATCTTTATTACCGAACTTGTTAGCACAGTTTCCTTGCGATTTCGTAAAATCATAATTTCATTGCCTTAATGTAATGAAAACTTGAAAATACTTGATAACTTCTTCACATAAATGTAGTAAATCTAAGCCTATAGAAGGTGTCCTTCCGGTGTCCACCAAAATTTATTTTCACTTCCAAACAAGCTAAAAAAATGAAATTTTGCATATGTCATGTGCTCAAACTTTCAGAAATATTCCGAAAAAGTCAAATTATTAGAATGGCGGCTCTAAGTTGGTGGACAAAAAAATTCAATTTGGTTTCATATGATGAAAATTTGTATTGGGGAAAAATGGTTTAGAAATTCTATACGGGGTGTCCAAAAATGATCTGAATAAACTTCTAGGAGGAGATCCTACACGAAAAAATGCGTAAAAGAATATCTAATAAATATATATTCCTAAAGAGCTTTTTAGAGGAGAGTTTAAATTTCAAGTTAAATTGTTTTCAGTGTAAACTAAGTATAAGTAGGTACAACTTCTTATGTATTCGAAATTCGCATTTAATTAAATTAAGATCGGGTCAATTTACCAAAGTTGATTTAAAATGAATTAATATTTTTCGCCAATTGTGGCCCCTGGCAACCCTGAAGCCCCCCCTTCGGACCGCGTTCCGTCCCCCCCCCCCCCCTTTTTTTTCCTTTTCCCCCCCCCCCCCCCCCCCCCCCCCCCCCCCCCCCCCCCCCCCCCCCGCGGGGGGGGGAACCCCCCCCCCCCCCCCCCGGGCGCGCCCCCCTTGTTTGGGGGGGGGGGGGCCCCCTTTCCCCCCCCCCCCACATTATTATTTTTTATTGAAATGAAAATATTAAAAAAAAACCGCTGCCAATTACTTGGGGATCAGAACTTCCTTACCGTAGTAACACTCGACGTGTGGTGGAGTTTATAATAAAAGTAATTTTTGACGTTTCAAAAAAGTCACATTTTTTTACGTTTCAAAAATGTCACATTTTGACGTTTCAAAAAAGTCATATTTTTTGACGTTTCAAAAAAGTCACTTTGACGTTTCAAAGAAGTCACATTTTTTGAGGTCTCAAAAATTGGGACCGATTTTGCTCAACAACGAACTCAATCTCTTCCTTGACCTCTGAACGTGTACCAAAGTTGAAAGCTTTATCTCAAAAACTGTAGCTGCTATCGCGAACTAGACAGACAGACACACATTTTTTAAAATTTTTATCACGAATACATAACATCCTCATTTTGAGGGGTGAGAAAGTAATAAATAAAAAATTAAACACCATAGATAATGCAACCCCCTGCATCCCTGAGGGTATCTCAATGTACCTTGTGTAGGAGAGGGCTAAACATTTAGAAACCATGGACACACACCCAATGTCCGAGTATGCTAAAATTAATTTCTGGTTTGGAAAAATTCCTAGCTCCTCGACCGGGGATCGAACTCGTGACTCTAGGGTGAGAGGCAAGTATCATTACCGCTCAACTACGAAGCCACAGAATGAAATCGTCTGTTTCTCACAAAATTCTTTTTTTATTGCTGCCGGTTTCGTGAATTATGGTTTGCTACACATCTTCACATCTTCAGACAACAAAAATTTAAATTAAAAGATGTGAAATAAACCATTATTTACTAAACTGGTGGCAATAAATAAGAATTTTTTGGAAAATAGACTGTTTTTTTATTTCAATATGTATAAATCACATAGGATATAGGATTAACTTTTCAACATTATTTTTTACTCAGTATTTCTTCAGGCTACTTAAATCATCCGGGCTTATTATGTAATTTAACTTCTTTCTCTTCTGAAACCCAGTCAGCCTTCCATGAGATTTAGATTGAGAAAAAGAAGTTTATGCATCACTGCCATAAACCACTTGAATTATTCAATATTGAATTCTTTCTACGAAGTACATTTCCAAGAATTTTGAAACGTTTTGTAAGAAAAAGTACAAAATTGAAACATTTCTTTAGCTGGAAAATTTAAAATTTTTGGTACAGTGGTGCTATCAGATCACAGAAAGATGAATATTAGCTTATTTTTAAAATGTTTCAAATAAAGGGTTTTGGAAAAAACTTAACAAAATTTAATCCGGGCAAATAAATAATTGTTTTTCTTCTCTATTTACCTCAAGAAACAATTTCCCCTTGTCTGTAAACAAACTTTTAATTAACAAATATGACAACTCTGTTACATTTAAATTCAGTTTATTTACAATATCTGAAATTAGTATGATCTAACCTAAACTTAACTGCCAGTGGCTGCGAATAAATCAATATAAAATGTTCACCAATTATTTGCAGACATATTATTAGATCATTAACTGTTTGGAATGATTAATAAACTCTCAGCAATATTCTAATTTTAGGCAATTACTATCCTACCAACTTTTTCGAAGTAGCTAGATAAAATCATTCAATCGGAAATTTATAATTATATTATTAACTAATAAAATTATTTATAATTATCAATCGGGTTTTCGAAATGGGCATAGTACAACTATTCCAGCTAGTATTACAGCTGAAATTTTTAGTACGCTAGATAACGATAATACAAATGCATTTGTATTGTTAGACTTTTGTAAAGCATTTTATATTTTAGATGATTTATAGTAAACGGAACTTTTGTATTATGGTTATGAAACTACCTTCCTAAATTTTTTAAAAACCTGTTTAAATAATTGTATCAAGTTGTGGTTTTGAAGGAAGTGAGCTCTAAATTTCATGCCATTACATGAGTAGTTCCACAAGGGTATGTTTTGGGACCGGTTCTTTTCTTAATTTCCACTGCCAACAATTTAAAATATGTTTTCTTAAGAAAAAATTGTTATATTACATTGAAGCCGTTGTATAACATAAACACCAGCACTACAGAAATTAGACCACCCCCTGAGTCAAAGCCAAAGCTGCAAGGGTGAGGGTACACTTATGAAAAGACGCGGACACACAACCATTCCCATCAACACTGCCAGTGCCGGTGGCGGGATTCAAACCCGCGAGACGATGAAAAGATCAGCTAATCACACTTACCATCGTGTGCTATAGCCAACTACTCCGAGGTCGATAAGTATAGGTTAGGTTAGGTTTGTTGTGAGTGGGTCTCAGTAGACCCTCCACTGCGGCCATCAGCAGGCCTATTGTGGCTCACGCATAATTCTATTTCACCCAATAAGTTCAGTCTCTTAATAAAACTGATAACTTTATTGGGTGAGAATGTGTCCAGATCCTTTGGCAGCAGTTGCTCTTTGCCAAATATTGAGAATCGGATCCTCTCCACAGCGGGACAGGTGCATAAGATGTGGTCTGCCTTCTCATCATCCTCCAGGCATAGACGGCACTCGGCGTTTTCCGCTAGGCTGAGTTTATGCAGATGATAGTGTAGTCGGCAGTGCCCGGTATATTGGCCTGTTAGCGTTTTCAGGTTTACCCTGTTTAACTCTAAAAATTTCTTAGCTCTTGATTTCAAAGGGTATTTTATAAACACATTCGAATGAACTAATCCTGGTAACTCTTGCCAGTACTGGAGAGTTTGCCTTTTAGCCCAGGTTGAGATAGCCATCTTGGCAGTACTTGAGGATATGCCAAGTATTGGTTCTGGTCCGATGAATCGTGATCCTGCTCCTTCTCTGGCTAAGGAGTTCGCTATTTCGTTACCTTCCATACCAGAGTGGCCGAGTATCCAGACCAGAGTTACTTTGTTGTTCTTGCTCAAATGATTTAGAGCTTTCTGACAGTTCCATACAGTTTTGGAGTTACACCGGTAAGAAGCCAAGAGCTTTTATAGCTGCTTGGCTATCTGAGAAAATTTTTACTGATCTGCGTGTAAGATGCATATATCCCAGCCTTCGTACACACAGTTCAATGGCATGAACCTCAGCCTGAAAAACAGTTGCATGAGTACGGCTTGGGAATATCCTCACCTTGTGTAGCTATGTACTCCGGCTCCTGTTCCCATGGGAGTTTTGGAGCCGTCTGTAAACCAACAACTGTCTGCCTTCAGTAGGTCGGCTTTATTCCAATCCCACTTCTCTCTTTCTGGAGAAAGGATGATGAAGGTCAGCTCGTAGTTGGTCATGGTAGGCATAGTATCCGAGGGCATTCCCTGGATGCTGTGATTCTCTATGTAATCCAGCAACCTGTTCCGCTCCATGATACTAGTCTGCGGCATATTAATGGCCGCTTGTTGTAGTCTGTAGGTTGCCCACCTGGCCTCTCTCTCCAGATATATATGAAGAGGGGGTAAATCCAGGAGGATTTCCATTGCAGCTGACGGTGTGGTGCTAATTGCTCCCATTACGGTCATGCATGCTAATCTCGGCAGTCCAGAGAGTTTGGATTTGGCCGTCCGTTGTAATCCTTTCGGCCACCAAACAATAGATCCGTATGTTATCATTGGTCTGATGACCGTGATATAGATCCAGTAAATTTGTTGGGGACCCATGCCCCAGGATTTGCCACAAATACGACGGCATGTCCATAGGGACATCTTTGCTTTGTGGATTACCTTTTCCAGATGGGAGTTCTAATTAAGTGATTTATCCAGAGTGATTCCTAGATATTTCACCTCCTCCGCAAATGGAATAGTTTCATCCATTAAAGTGGAAGGTCTTAAGTCCTCCAGCTTCCTTTTCCGGGTGAATAGTACTATTACTGTTTTTTGAGGGTTTACAGACATCTGTTCCCTGTCATACCAGTTACTCACTGCATCCAGTGTCTCTTGAAGGGTATTTGATATTACTCCTTCAGAGTTTCCTTTGAGCTAGTATGAATAGATCATCTGCATATGCTAGAACCTCAACCTCCCATAGTGTGCGAATAGCCAGTAGGTCGTCCACAAGAAGTGACCACAAAAGGTGGGAGAGAACCCCACCCTGCGGGCATCCTCTCGTGGCTCTAAACCTAACTGTTTCTCCCTGTAGAGACGTTGTTATGGTTCTGTTTGATAGCATAACACGAATCCAGTCGCCTATAGTAGGCTCAATACCTCTGGCAACGACTGCTGCATATAAGGAGTCGGGCAGTGCATTATCAAATGCTCCCTCAATGTCGAGAAAGGCTCCCACCGCAATTTCCTTCATTTGAAGGGATAAGTATAAGTACTTTAAATTTGAAGATGAGAAAAACTGCGTGAGATGTTATTGTTTTAATTTATTACTGCAATATAGTTTACTTTTTTTGTTTAGATAACTTAACATAAAATCGTCTTCAACATATCTAAAATAGCTGCTAGAGATTTATATTTACTTTGAGGAAATATCATCAAGTTTCTCGTAATGAACTTGGTTGGCTTAAAATCGAAAATATGTTTAAATTTGCTTTAGCACACCAATTTTTGCTAACGTCGACGCCACTATTTTATACTTTTATGCTTACAAATTTGTACGAGTTATATTTTGCACAAATTGTCAGATTCTTCTATCCAAGTAGCAAAATGTGGTTATTTTAGTGGTCTTGTATAATGGAATAATATAAATTTTGGTGACAAATGATTTTAATCATTGTGTCGTGTTTTTTAATGATGGAAGATATATCCTCGTAATTTTGTAATTATAATAAAAATACAATTAATATTTCAAAACATTAAAAAATTAGCTTAGAGTTCTAGCCTTTCTTCGAGTTATTATTACATTGCATCTATAATTAGTGAATGCTTTATTAAAATGAGCTTGTCGTTAATAACACCATTCGTAATTAGACAGTCATGAATAGTAAATCATCGTTGGTGTGTTTCTATTATAATGTTTTAATGATGGCTGCTAATAAAGATTTATTTTTAGTATCCTAGATTAACCTCTTTATTAGTGCAATACCAAATTAGTATATAATGAAATTTCAGACAGTAGTATACATACACAAGAATCAAAATGGAAACTAAAAAAAGATGAAAGCTTATTGTCCACGAAACATATTTATTTATTTATTTTTTTACTTTGTTAAATAAAACAACAGAAACACTGTTAAACGTTTAGCAAATTGTATCATATTATAAAAATATTGGGCAGTTGGTAATGTGCAAGTGCAAGTAATACCGCTTTATTTTTGAAACGAAACATTTAGATTTAAAACCCTATAACTGTCATACAAGCTATGGGTAATAGGTATACAATATTTTCTTAGTTTTAGTTTGCTGCCCGGGGACACCAAATAATGTCTGCCTTCAGTAAGAGCAAGTCAGAAGAAATAAGACATATGTAGAGCATTTATTAATTTAATTAATTTAATTGCATTTAAATTGATTTTCAATGAAATCAGCTCAATCTCTCACTGTGCATTTGTTGAGGCTATGCCCATAAGAAAACTTTCCAGTTACTGTTTCTTTTAAACCTATTTGCAACATAAAAAACGTCGGCTTCTTTAGTCCTTTTACCGCCGTCAAAGAACCCCACCTTTTTTTGTGCTATATAAGTCTGAAATAAACCGTACATAAATATGTGTTTCTGAAATCGTTCGAGAATGTCTACCTTCTCGGCGCAATTTCAGATCCCAAAATACGTC